AATTGTATAATTATTGTCGATTTTTTATTTTAGGTCAGTCTGGATCCAGCGCAGCAAAGTGGATCCAAGTGCATACAATTAATATGTTGGCTCGACGACCGTCATCTTCCATGCGTTCCACCGATCTCAGTTACTGTTCCTGCGGACTATCCTTCAACTCCGCCTCGCTGCGTTATGGCGCCACACGAATACGAAGCAACAACATTTTTGTGTGCTGTACAGAAAGCTTTGAATGCTCGTATCGCAAAGTTACCACGTCGGTTTTCACTCTCCCAGTTGCTGGATACGTGGGAGATGAGCGTTCGACAAGCTAGTGCACCAAGGGAAACATCTGTCACTGCCAGTACGGTACTCATGGGTTTATAGTATATCTTTGTATCAATTTCTTTATGTCTGTATACTTCTTCAAATTTTATGAAGCTTAATTAAACTGGCAGAACATACATTTATATACATGTATATACATATGTGTAAATAGACATATATGTACGGTAATAGTATCTGAAGTCAATACTTTTACAAGATCTTCGGTGACTATTCTCAAGCAAGCAAGTTATAAAATGACAAATTCTACAAAAATTCACTTGAGAAGACATTTGAATTTTTTATACCCATCAATATATTATTATCATTGGAGATCTTGTATAATATATGTGTAAATAGTGACTGGGTGTTTTTATAAAATTACAAAATTATTTATGAATTTATTAAACACTCAGTCACTATTTACACATATATATCATAGTAAACATAATAAAATAATACTTTATCTGCAATGTATATTTTGCAATGGTAATTATAATAAAATTTTGTATATGTATATGTATATATACACAGGGTGTCTGATAACTCACGGACCAACGCTCGTGAGCGGATCTAGCCGCGCGCTTATTCGGCAATCTTTTTTAATTAATACTTTAATAATTATTGCGGGAATTGCAAAATGATAAAGAACTTTTCTGTTCTGTTTAATGTGCTCTATCGGACACCCTGTGTATATATTGTGTATATATATATATATATATATTGTATAGCATTCAAATAATTAAAATCCAAGCTTACAAAATAAAAACATTATAACGAATATTATTTTTGTATCGTAATAAGGAAATAGAGGAAACTGTTAAGTAATACTTATTTTACAAAATAATCCTTTTTTTATTTTTATTAACTTTCTTAAAAATATATATGTATTATGATAAATATATGTGCAGTCTCTCTTTATATGATTTA